AGAGCTGCCCTGCTGATGGGTGCTTGGCCCATCCACCAGCCAGGTGTCCAGAAGATATGCTGTAGGGCTGGCCTGGGGGATGCTCATAGAATTGTAGAACCATTCAGGTTGGAAAAGATCCTTGGGATCACCGGGTCCAACCATCATCCCTACTCTACAAAGTTCCCCCCTAAACCATATCCACCAACACCACATCCAATCAACCCTTAAACACACCCACGTATGGTGACTCAACCACCTTCCTGGGCAGCCTGTTCCAGTGTCTAACCACTCTTTCTGTGTAAATTTTTTCCTAATGTCCAGTCTAAATGGTCAGAGGAACAAGCACGGTTAAGCCAAGTACGCACTTCAAATGTGGCTTTATTCATGTCTTCTAGAAATAAGCTGTCTCATAACCTGCCATCTGGCTCAGTGCTGTTCACAACAGAGCTCCATGTGCCATGGAAGTACCTCAAACTGCTGAGGGAGGCTGTTGGCCACTACCAATGTCATCCATCCAGTGCATGTTGTGAAGAGTTCCTGCACCAACAGCTGACAGTAAGTGTGAAAAAGGAGGAAAAAAGTAGATGTTCTAAAGAAAAAGGGAAAAATGTGCTGAGCAGCAGTGGGAGTGGAGGCTGTGCCACTTGGGTCAGTCGGTGCCTTTCAGGAGCCCCTGCTTCAGCAGTTGCTGCAGTACCTTGTAAACCACCACCCAACCTCACTGGAGCTCTGACTCCCCCAGCTAGGACAGCCCATGGCAGGGAACACTTCAGTGGGGGTGCTGGGCTGTGTTTTGCCCTTGACAACCTGTTGGAGGCATCAGGTGAGAAGGCAAGAGCTTAACCTTGTACCCCATCCTTCTGCTGAGACCCTGCTGGGTTGACCTAGTGGTTAGTATTTCTTTAGGTTTTTAGCTGAACCCCCCCAGCTGATAGCTACTGGAGCATGGTACTAGGAAATATTACTACAGCATACTTTGAATTCACATAGATTTTGTAGAAAAAAGAATTTGAGACTTCCCTTTTTTAGAAAGAGAAGCACTGCTGTTCTGAGTACAACTGTGTGGCATCTTGTTTGGAATTTCCCTTGCTTTCTATATATACACATACAGCAAAGCCACAGGAAATGGAAGCTTAAAAAAAAAATACCATAGAGCATAGGTATCTGCTTCTTGAACAAATTTTATTCTTGTAGTTGGTTTTATTATTAGTGAGCACTTAATCTTGAGGCATCACTTAAGGCTTGTTTTAAAAGATGTGATGTCCTAAGTGGTGGGAGGGGGAAGCAGACATTGCCTTAGAAACTGCAGATTTAAGAAGCTCTTTAGGTTCTATACTGGTCATGCTATAGAAGAGAGCATTGTTGAGCATCTCTCACTTGGGACTTTTAGCACAGGGACCAACTTCTGAGGCTTCTTGCTGTATTTTTTGACCTTCAGTGAGTCAGTCTTGCCTACAGCTGCTGTCGTGATTGTGTGCTAAGGGCCTACTTCTGCATGGCAACCAACATAGTTATTAGTAAACAGAATTTACTTTAAAATTCCCAGGAAAATACATTACATTTAGGTCCAGGAGTAATGAGCAACAGCTTGCCAGCAGTTGGAGGATGTATGGTCTGAAAACCTTGTTGGTGGGACAGCTACTCAGGACTCTGTGCTTGTCCTGGGTCTGAACTCGGGCTCATTTGGAGAGCAAAGCTGAGAGAAGGTAATTTAATGAGGGAGAAATTTTAGGAGGAGGGATGGGCTAATTGTGAAGGTAGTTGGACAGATACATCTTGGCAGCTCGGAATATGCTAAGACCCATTCCTGCAAGTCCCAGAAGAGACAGTTATCTGAACTCCCCTGAACTTCCCTGGACCTACAGAGGTACCTCTGTCTTCTTGGCATGCCTCTGCAGTACAGACATTGCTCACCAGCAATGAGAGATTTACAGAAGCCTAAATGGGCATTAACTTTGCCTGATAAGAGGGTTCAGTTATCTTGGATACCTTCTGTTACCAACACAACCAAATAGGAACCAAGTCCCATATGGTCACATAGTTTTTCATTATAGTTTCAAGAGTCTCTTACATGAGGAGCTGCTTCTGCAGTTTTCTGCAGATGATGTGTGTTTCAGTGAACAAGTGTGGTACAAATGGATAATGAAAGTTCATAAAGTTTATGCCACTGAAGTTCCTTTCATTTTATGCAGTTACTTTCTTACTCATATGCCTTTATATATATTGCTTTCTTTTGGGAAAGGAGCTGGGCTGCTTTTACCATTTCAACAAACAAGACACACAGTACTTGGAGCCATTCAAGTGTCAGAGAAAATCAATGGGAGGTCACAAGGAGCTTTTCTTAATTTAAAGGGTTAAAAAAATGCTGGGAACTCATGGCTGTTTTCACTTCAGTGTTGGGAGAGTGGAGCTGACAGTTTTAATGCATTCTGGTCTGCAAATTGAGGAACCTTGAGCTGCGAGTGTAGGTGATGGTGGTAATTGCTTGGGATGCCTCAATGTGTATGCTTTGCCTGGTGAAGAGAGGGCACGTAAAGACTTGATATTGTTTCTTCAAGAGATCTGCCAGTGACTTCAGTGTAGAAGTGAAATCACTGGCTAATAAACAAATTTTCTTGGGAGAAATAGTTTATGCCCTAGAATCTGACAAACATTTGCATGTAAGACACTGGTAGTTCTTCATATTGTGTGTAACCAGTTTCTTGGGTAAGCCAAAACAAGAAATAAACAGGTATGGCTTTTTTTACCAGCCAGAAAAAATCAAGAAATGGTAAAATAGCTCTGAAATGAGCTATTTTTATACTGGAAAACAGCAGATATGTCCTAGATTTTTGTCACAGGTTATCCAAAATCTGGTAATTTAATGCATAGCTTTAAGTGGCAGCTGCAATCTGTGCTTAACCTATAGCTTCACCTGTTTGTGTCTGTTGGTCCAGTGTGGTCCTCTGTGGAGCTATATCCAGTTTCCAGCACTGAAGTGCTCTCCTTTCCCAGGGTTCAGACTTTCATCTCTGCTCTGACAAGGGATCGAATTCATAGGTCTTAAAATCACAAGAGTAGGTACTATTAATTTTTGTGCACTGCAGATTCTTCTAGTTCTTGCATCTATCTCTGATAGTTGTAGGCCAGTCTGTCCAACTATACCCAAGGGAATAACAGGAGCGGAAACCTGTAGCATTTATCTTCTGACTGATGTGTATTAAATAGTGATCATCTCACATGCAAAAAAAAAAAGTGCAGTGATCTGCCAAGATCTAACTTTATTGCTGTGTTTGTAACTGTCTTGTATTGTGAATCACTAAAAGGTCCATACTCTGCGGTATGAATCACTGGCAATGTAGTATTGGTGTACACTGAGCTGTAAACAAGGCCTGTCTAGTGAGAAGCATCAGAAAGAAGGTTAACTTACGCCACAGGAAGTTTCTCAGCCTGGATTCTGTGGGCTGCTCTGATCTCTAAGACCTTAAAAGGCACTGTGTAAAATGGTTATTAAAAAAATTAAATCTCTGCACGCTTGTGCATGTTGTATTAGGAAAAACAAGCTAGTTATGTGTCACAGGTTTGCAATGAGTTAAAGACTAGATTACTAAGAACATTTGCACATGCATACTGCATGCAATGGCCCATGCATCTTTTTTTTGTAATATCCCACTTAAGGCAACATTGGTTTAAATGATCATCTTCCTTTAACAGGATCATGAAAAGGAAAAACCCAAGGAAAATAGCCACAATCCTCCTGAAGTGTAGTACTGGGGAGGAAGCAAAGCAGGAGTGTCATTATACCAAGTAAGTTTGCTTTAATTATGAAAGGTGATGGTTGCACTAGGCCTTTATCCCATCCTTAACTCCAGCCCTGACACAGTGAGAAACACCAGGAGCCAAGGCTGAAAAAACTGTAGTCCTGTTACAGTTGTACACTTTACCTTCTGATACCTTCTCAGAACAGTCCCCTGATACTTAACTGAAGTCAGCCCCAGTGTAGATAGGATAAAAAGACATTTAAGCTAGCATTGGTGTTGTCAAAGATGTGTGTCAGGGTAGGTTGTTAAATATGTTCTTGTGCATCTGAAAGGTTGTTCTTCCTCTCAAAAATGAGGAGTGATTTTTCAACATATTTGAAAATAGTCTGAGACACTCGCTATCATTGAAGTACTGACATATATCTGAAACCATGACAGTTAGCCCTTAGTATAGTTACTGGGACTATTTCACATCTAAATACTTGCACAGAAGGATAGATTTTTGACCACTTTACTAATGTAGTAAAGCAACTGCACAATCACTTTTATTATAAAAAATAAACCTTAGATAAAATAGAATACAATCCATAATTACACAAATATACATTACAAATGTGTACAGAAGTTACTTACGGCACAGAAAAAATAAATATCCCTGTACATAGTTTCTGTGCAAAAAGACAGGCTAGTTTTAGTCAGTAACCAGCCCTTTTATGTTTTCTTCACCTCTCCCAATTTCAGTGAAACACGAGGATTTTCAGATAAGACATCTGAAAGTTCATCCCCTACTTGCAAGAAAATGCTTTCACTTTTAATCCAAACAAAGCACAGTAAGATTTTTCCTTACTTCTGCAAAATGCTTCTCCCCTGTTCTTCAGCCTACATTTTTGGAAGAGGAGAAAAATTTCAAGTTCAGTAATTTTTTTTCACAAGTCTTCAGACTACTGTAAAAAATTAGACTCAAAAATGAGTTAAGCTGCACTCTGAAGCTAACTACCACTGTAAGTTTCAGTTTAGCTTGTAGTAGAATTTGCATTATGCTTGCTTCCTCATAGTTGGCAAAAATAATTCTTCATGAAAAACACTTTGCTTTAACTTGGCAGTCTTTCACACAGTCCAAGAGAAGGTGAAATCAAAGAAGAGGTAGATATTGTCCATCCTCCTAATTCCTCAGAGTTGTCCATTTCCATTACTCTGGTTTAGGACTGTAGGAGATGTGCATAGAGCAAAGTTTTACTCATAAAGTAGTGATTGACTTACATGCCTCACATTGTGTGGTCACTGACAACATTCATCAACATGCTTGAGGAATTCATCACTGAGTTCATCACTGAAAAACCTCATACAGTGAGGACATCTAAGTTCACCCTGTGCCCTGCCCTCAGATCCTGAATTTCCACTGTCTGCAGGAGGAGAAGCTTGTTCAGACTCTGAAGATGTTCTTCTTGTGCCTGTTTGGCCTGGGCTGTTGCCTCGTACGTGTTCAACGTTCGTCTGTACATACATGTGGCTTTGGTTACCAACGTGAACTCTGAAGTGACTAGTTGGGTTTCTTGAGTCCTAAAAAGAGAAAGAGGAGCTCTTGAAAAAGATGCTGTACAAAGATATTCTTTACCAGGTGTTAACTTTTATCACCTTTATCTGAAACACTGCTTATGTTTTTACCAGAAGGTTTGTAAATAAAATAGGCACCAGTTTTTGCAATTTTATTAATACTGTTGTAAAGAAGGCTTGTAGAAAACACTGAATATAGTCACTATGCCACTTTAAATATTAAGAGTCATGGCCATCCTTCTCTTCCTTCTAAGAATTCACCCTTACTATCTTGATCCAAGATAGAAGGAAAATGGACTGGAAAGGGGTGTTACACGTCTTGAGAAACATCTCCACTACGACTGACTATGAAATAAATTTAAGTTTTTGATCGCTGCACTGAGCTGAAATGGTGTTAAAGTACTAAGATTTTTTTTTAATACATTAAAAAGTAAATTTTAGCCCTGAATCCTATTGACATGCTTTAATTGAAAAAGCAGCCTGTTGCTTTCTTACCTGTCTTCTTGCTAGCTGGTGTTGCAGACATGCAACTTCTGCCTGAAGCTCTTGAATTTTACTCTGTGCTCGTTCTCTGTCCGATCTCTCTGATGTGAAATCATCTTTATAAACTAGGACCTGAAAAATAATCTTCATGTTAATATTTTATAAATCAAAGCATTGGCAGGTTAGATTAAAAAGCTGAGGCTGTGATTCCTTTGTTGGTAAATACTTATTCCCAAAATCTCAATATTATCTTCTCCATCTCATATCTGTACTTTAAAGGATCTGTATTTTTTTCAGTTTTTCACATTTTGTATTAAAGCTGGCAGAACTGCATGCAGTTCTGTAAGTAGTGGGTTTCCTTTAAATCTATGTTGTTAAGTATCTGCACAGCCAAATAGAGTAAGACAAGTGGCAAATGTTAAAATTAGTAAGTTCATTTTTCCCCCTTAAGACTTCAGTGGTCTGGGGAGAAACTAAGAATTCCCACCTCTAGGAAAAAGAAAGGTAATGACCTGTTGCTCCAGCATTTGTATGCGCTCATTATCTGCTTCACTCGTCTTCTTCACGTCTTCTAATTCTCTCTTTGCTTTTACACATTCATTCATTTTTTCTTCCAGTAGCTTGTTTAACCGGAATATCTCCTTGTGCATCAGGTCAGAAGTGGTTTGTGCTGAAGTTACACCATGCTGCTGCTCCAGCTGTGTCTTCATCTCCTTCAGCTGCAAGTGGAGTCGCTTCACGTACTCATCCCTACTTGCGTCGTACTTCTGCCATTTTGCATTTAAGTCTTCCACCTGAAAGATCACCCAGAGAGTCATGAAGAACATGAAGACAGAAACAGGAAGGCACAAGCTTTCAAGCTTTTGAAGACTGTGTGTGCGGGGCCAAACGTCTCGAAAACATAATGTAATATAATATGCTGACACATCCCCTGAGTGTGGGCAACCAGCTTGACAGGAGAGCAGATGATGATCACGCTATAAACCACACTCTTCTCCGGCAGCCTTCCCCATTCACCATCCCATAAGGACAGTATTAAGTAACATGGAACGGGAGGGCTTGGCAGTAACACTGGGCCTAGTGCTGTTCTCCTGGAGTAGAATACTGATGCATGAAAGGAACATGATTTTTTGGGTTTTTTTCTGTGGTGTGTTTTTAACAACAAAACCCCAATACATTCAAAATAACGTATTAAGTTGTTCTCAGCTAGGGGAACAAAGACTATGTGCCATGTTGAAAGGACTAGGAATAATTTTGGACTTGCATTAAACTGCCATTTAATCAGATTAACCAGGCCTTCCCTATTCCAAATGTACTGTAATTCAAAATATTCAATCAAATCTTCACCTTGTACAGAATGAAAGTACTCACATGAGCTACTTTTTGTTTTAACATCCTGTTTTCATCTTGTAGGTTGCCGATCAGAGCTTGAAGTGAAGTTTCATTGTCTAAAAGCTATAATTTTCAGATAAAGGAAGTGTTACTTTAACATAAAAAAATCCCAAAAGCTACTTAGCTATGTTGTTAAACTAGAAGTAATTTGTTGTTTGTTTGTTTTTTAAATTCCTCTAAAACTGCTTGCTGCCAGTGAAACAAATACATACATCTAGGACTACTTATTTTTATGTAGTATATTTCTAAATAGTAATAGTACAGCCTACAGCTTTTATTATTAATAAGCAGAGCAAAAATGTACTCTGGCTTTTACCACCTTGGTATTGCTTTTAAATCTGTGTGATGTCATGAAAACATGTCTTACCAAATTCTAAGCATACTAATAGTGACAAGAAAAATAACACACTTCACACGCATGATGGTCTACACTGACGACAACTGAGCTAAAGTTTACACAAACTCCTTGGAAAGTACTTGTTTGGAGTGGGGAAAAGCATGAGAAAGACATGGATATGCTGTCATCTGGCTTTGTTATTACTGTCAATTTTGGCCAGTACTAGGAAGAAATTACTGAGGGGAAAAAACCCTGCTTGCTAAATAATTGACTAAAATGATACCTCTTTTTTACAGTTGTGACATCTGCTTAAAAAAACCCCAATGTACTTGAGTAATATAGAACACTTTTGTACAAAATTCCCTAGAATCAGCTAGTAATTGCATCTGAAATTTCTCTTCTTCAAGAGGGAAGTCCCCACTGTACAAGGTTAGCTACTTATTACATATATCAAAGCCAATCAAGTTTCCTGTCTATCAATCACATGTAAAATATGATAATAAAAAAAGTTCTTTTTTCTTATATCTATATATATAGCCAACCTCTATTTCTTACAGGTAACCTTAATGTGAATAAGTTTTCTTTGGAAATGCTCCAGGGATGTTCTACAAAGTAGAAGTGAGCATGGATAGAGTTTATCCATAAAACCATAGTTGAATAGTGATGTGAAACACACATTACCACTATGTAGCAGTAAGTGCAGACGACAGAGTGATTCTTTTTTGTGAGAACTGGCTGTAGCATCCTGCTCTCAATACTGATCTGTTATTGGAGGCAGCACCTCAAATGTTACTTTCTTATGATATTATCAAGAAGTAGCTAATGATTCTGAACCATCATGATTTCTGGAACAACAGAACAACATCATCTACCTCTACCCTATGCTGAAACGATTCAGCTAAGGTGATGATGCAGCAAAGCCACATCACCATGTACAATGTGTGCCAAAATCCAGGTGCTTCTTTATGCCCCTTGGTAGCATTTCTGCCACGTTCCTATCATTAAGCGTTGTTTCTAAGCATTCCCACTGGAGAGAAACATTGCCTTTCACTGAAAGACCACGAGGGAACCCAAGACATCTTGACTTATTTGTCCCTAAGCACCTTTCTGTAGGTCTGTTGTACATGTGCAAAGCCAAATCCTGATCAGAGAGGACCAGGTGCTCTAGATTTCTTAATAGAAATACTACTTTAAAATATCTTTGTTTTGTCATTTAGGTGCTTAAATAAGTCATCAGGAGGTATCACCATCAAAAGCACAGCACCATCTAGTGATGCAGAGAAGCATGCTGTGGTATAAAGAAGGTACTGTCTCCTGTATATGCAGGGAAGAAGTGTAATCATGGAATCGTTGAAGTTGGAAGGGAGCTCTCAAGATCCTCTTCAAGAAAAGACTCTGATGATAAGTGAGATGGCCAAAATGCAAGTCATTGACAACTGCTTCCATCCTAAATTTTTGGTACTTGGAATTAGCTAGAGTTTGCCATGGTAATCTTTTCACCTTACATGAAATTATTTAAAGGGATTTTTCTCACCACTCCCCAGTTACAACCACCTGTTGTTATACTGTAATTAACACCTCAAAAGCTAAGAAGACTTGAAAAAAATATAGTAGCAAAAAGAATACCTGATTAGATCTTTCAGTAGGTATCTGGTCATCTGAATTCCCCTTCTCCTTCTTTTGCTTCTCTTCTAGACATTTTGCCAGATGTTGACACATTTCTGCTGTGGATGCTAATTTGCGTTGAAGCTGGTGAGTTTCATCAGTGAGTGAGCGGCACAAAACATCGCTGGTGGCCTGAGCCTTCTCTCTCTCTGCCAAGCTCTTCTGAAGTCGTAAGATTTCCCTCTCCTTTTCATGTGGAGGCTGATTTATCATCTGCTGTATCTCTCTGTTTTTCTCCTCTAGTTGCTGATTCAACTTCTGTACTTCCTAAACATAAGAGGGAGGGAAAGTTATTTAAAAGCAAAGTGAACTCAAAAGCCAAAATGTGTCTAAGACTGACTTTCATATTGCAGTAATTCCAAGTTGCTCCTATATTCAGTGTTAAGTACTTCAAAAATATATTAAATCCCATCCATTTCTATACAATCACTCAGCCTTGGAACTGACAGATCAATCAATGAAAACTGGTAATTTCTTGGACATCTATACACACAGTTCCTATTCAGTAAAATGAAGAAACAACAAAAATGCAGGAAGGTTTAATGAAAAGATACACAACAGCAACAAACTAAAGACAGAACTTACAAGAAACAAAGTAGTTTAAAAGGAATAACTGTGGAGACTGAGAAATGCTTTCTGCTGCTGCATTCTAAATTACCAGAGAGAGCTTTCCGTAAAATAAATAAACAAATAAATTACATACATACATATATATATATATATATAAAGGAACTGGAAAGTCATTCTATCAAAAACCTGTGCAGTGTATTCACTGCCTGCCACTGTCACAAGGACAAAGCAGAGGGAGCAAACACAGCAACTTTCCCACCTAGGAAAGCAAGAGTGTTAAGGACAAGCAAACACAAAATGAAACCTGTGTGACAGCAATGACTCTATTTTGGCCATAGCTGATGCTCCAAGGTTATGGGGGTGGGGGGCGGTGTGGGGTCTGACATACTCTGAGGAAACAGCTGTGTATCTCATTGCTACACCTTCTTGTTGAATTGGAAGCTCTGTGGGATCATCCACACTGCATGAAGTTAATGCCTCTGCAGGTGTTTTGAGAAGGAAGAAGCTTGCTTGCTGACTGGGGGAAACCACTCTGTAGCACCACGTATCTGAAGGACACCAGTCCTAACTTTTGTCAAAAACAGCCTGCACTTGATATCCTCAAAAGGTGGCAGATGCTGGTAACAAAAGCCTCTGGAGCAGTGATCCTCCAGAGCCAATGGTGCCCTGGATGCCAGCACAGACCATGAGAGAGGTACAAACTGGACTCTACCCTTCCAGTTCTTTGGGAGTGCTAATGGAGCTGTAAATCAGAGGGAGCTCTCTTCTTTGCCAACATTGTAGGCCTTTTGACTTAAAAAAATGTCCTTTTGTTGTTATTTTTAGTGACAATGATTTCAGTGTTTCTCATTAGGCATTAATTTTCTTTTTAAAAATATTTTATACCTAACAGAAATAGCAGTTGTTCTTATTCCTGACATTTAAACTCCTCAGCATCATGCTAGATTTCCCCTTTGCTATAAAGACATTCAGCATCAGACTTCAAAATATATTCAGATCCCACAGGTCTGTCATCTACCTGCAAAGTGTAAGATCATCTTTTACTACAAATTTCCAAACTTGAACTTATTTTATATGTATTTTAGGTGAGTGTCATATATGGAAAATGTTTTGTATAAGCATTAGGTCAAGAGATTACTTATGACAAAAATACTTGTTTCAATTTTAAGTACTGCTTCTTGGTTTGGAAATTTCTTTATGCAGCTTCATATAGAAAGGAATGCTTTAAAGTTTTCTAAGTATTTCATACTGACCATGGGAAAGTCTTAATGACAGCAACACCAATAGCATTTGTGGCGGGTGGGAGGAGATGCAGTTTTGAGACCACTTTTTTCCTGTCATAAAACGTGCCAGCATCCCTAATCCATCTCCTCACAGTCCAGACTTGCCAGTTACTTCTCCCAGGGTTAACGTGCTGCCCTAATGTCAATATAAACCCCCATTTTTAAGTGCACTTTAAAAAACTCGCACACTTTCATAGCAAAAGAGGTGGCATCACTTGTTTACCTTACAAAATAAAACTGTTGCATGTGATCAAGGGTCCTTCAGTAAGTAATACGAACTTCCACATTTAGAGCTGTTTTTTCAAACTATTTTTCCTTCTCCTTGTGAAAATAGCTACACGGAGGCTTTTAATGCCACGCCGAGTTCTTGATTTAGGATTTCAGGGTTCAACTTCTGGAAGTTAAGGCAGTGGGAACTAGTGTTGGCTACAGAGGTTGAGTTGCTTAAAGCCCAACCCAACTCTAGGCACAGAGCGCTCGAGCAGGTTCCGCCAAACGCCCCAGCAGAGCGTTTGCGGGGCTCGGAACGTTTGCTCCCCGCTCCGGGCTCTGTCCGCACCAGCTTGCGGTGCCACCCCCATCTGTTCCAGGGAGCGGCCTCCGTGCCAAGCGCCTGCATCCTCCATCCAAGACAACCCCCGCGGGGCTTCCTAAGCTGAAACCGCTCCCGTTCCTCGGGACGGGGGATGGATGCTGCTGCTGTTGCTGCTGCTCCCGAGGGAGG